GCCATAAAACAGCTTTTCATTAAATTGTCCAATTACTTTTGGTCCCTTGAAAAAAAGGGGGGGTGGCTACTCTTAACAGCTGTAATTCCTAAACACTTCCTTACATTTGGATGTACATACCCTCAAATTAAACCTGAGAGTGTGCACTTTCAGCCCATATCCATTATATAACTATAGGTTGAATATGTTTTGAGAAAAACTAAAATTGTTCCTGTGTCCAAATATATATGGACCTAACTGTATGTAGGTGGTGAACAGTAGGGAGATTGGAAATGTACAATAGAAATATACGAGCGCTGGGTGAATAATAATGTAAAAATAGCTGCTGGCATACACAGGTAAACCTCTAAGACCTAAAAATCACATTTGTATACAAAATTATGCAGCGCTAAAAGAAGATGAGTATTCATAAAATGTCCATGACTAAAAATGACATAAAACAAAGTCTCAATGACATAGAAGGTGTTGAACACCAAAGGGGTAGACCCCAATCTCAGGTGTGTGACACAGAAGGTGTATAAAGTGACATAAGTGATACAGTAGATGGAACTTGTGATAAAAAATCTGTGACTCCTGTGGTGTGAGAATGGATGTGGATTGCACTAACCAGATAGCACAATCGCTTGTGCATGGAGTATATAAGACCTACTCCTGGTTCTCTGGATCTGGAACACAGCAGACGGATGAAGCCAACAGGGCAGCAACCACCAGGTGTCATACATCCGGGTAAAGTAACCAGCCTCCAGATATGCCGATAACAGCCACAAGGGGGATCATGTACATTGGCATGCGTCAGGAACACAGGAATCACCTTCAAAGAGTGGGGCTCCAAAGAAAAAATGAGCCCAAGCAGAAAGCCCTTTGATAAAGTGTCTGAACACAAAACGCATTAGAGAGGTGCCCCTAAGTATTGTGTACACACCGCATGGCCTTTATGACCGCAGCAGCCATCTTGGATTTTTATGTAAGTGTGATTCATCTTTTATACTTTATTTCGACTAATAAAAATACAACACCACTGAAATCTTTCTGCTTGGGCTCGTTTTTTCTTGCGAGCCCCACTCTTTGAAGGTGATTCCTGTGTTCCTGACACATGCCAATGTACATGATCCCCCTGGTGGCTGTTATCGGCATATCTGGAGGCTGGTTACTTTACCCGGATGTATGACACCTGGTGGTTGCTGCCCTGATGACTTCATCCGTCTGCAGTGTTCCAGATCCAGAGAACCAGGAGTAGGTCTTATATACTCCAAACACAAGCGATTGTGCTATCTGGTTAGTGCAATCCACATCCATTCTCACACCACAGGAGTCACGGATTTTTTATCACAAGTTCCATCTACTGTATCACTTATGTCACTTTATACACCTTCTGTGTCACACACCTGAGATCGGGGTCTACCCATTTGGTGTTCAACACCTTCTATGTCATTGGGACTTTGTTTTATGTCATTTTTAGTCACGGACATTTTATGATTACTCATCTTCTTTTAGCACTGCATAATTCTTTATACAAAAGTAGGGAGATTGGAGCTTGGGTAATGGGGTGGGGGTACTCTTTGCAAAATTTCTAATGGTTGTAAGTGCCAGATCAAAGTATTAGAAATTCTGTGACAAATCAAAAACCAACATGAAAAGTGTTTCTACCTGTACCTGTACCTGTACCAAAAAATATATGCAGAAGTGAACTGCATACTGTAGATCCAGAGATAATCGTACACACATCTGTACACAATTTTCACAGTAAATGTCACTCCCTAAAATTGGCCATACGCTAGTAGATTTTCTAAGGGGAATTCAAAAGAAAATTCAAACAAAAATTCCTAGTGCACTTGATGGTTTGATGAACGTTATACAAATGTAAGCAAACTGAATGTTTGCTTTTAACATTCAGTTGATCACAAAATATGATGTATCAGTTTTAATCCATTAGAAATGATCCTTGAATCAACCTTCGTTACAGTAAGTTATTTGAAAAACACACACACACATTTCCACGAAAATTTGTTCAATTAATCAAAATGACAAAGCTCAAATCAGTCAAGATCTCATTACACTGATAAAATGGAGTTTCTTTGTTTGACGGCAAAAACCATTTGGATTTGTAAATCCTTAAAACAGAAGTATGGGAATACAAAAAAAAAAAAAGAAAAAAAAAAAAAACATACTCACCTAGATAGTTGCAGCACCGATCCCAGCTTAGCTGTCCCCAGCCATCTGTACACTGAGGACTGAGTGATCAAACACTGCTGATTGCTCAATTCTCCCCTCCACTCCTTAGGGCCAGTTCACACTACATGCCTTTCAGTGTGCTTTTTTCTGAATCCAAAACACACAGAAATTAGGTTATATGGTTGTCAATGTCATAGTTCACATCAGTGCTTGCAGTTCCAGTGCATTCCAGATGCAGAAAAAAAAGGAAAACAGGCTGCATTTTTCCTGCACAGAACTGTACTGGAACATGGTAAAATGCATCAAAAAACGCTCCGGAATGCACGAAAACACAACAAAAATACACTGGAACGGACATGTCCCTATGAAAATTGAAGAAAAAGAGAGGGGAAAAAATGAACCGAAAAGCATCAAAAACGTACCGGAACGTGTCAAAAAAGCATAAAAAATGCACGGGAACATGCCAAAAACGCATAAAAAATGTGCATGCAGAAATGCCTCTGGACTGCATTTCTATGGTGTGAACTGGCCCTTAATGTTTTTCAAAAACAAATGAAAAGTAGCCTAGAGAACCACGTGCTGGGATAAAAGAATAGCTAATACCAATTTGCAATATTCCATATTCACCTCAATATATATTTTAAAAAATAAAAAAAAAAAACATTCATAAAACTGTTCATGATGCATACTAACATTAAGACTTTCAAGATGGTTTACACATTTAACTGCCATACTGTGGATTTTCACTCGATAACTGTTATATTACATGCACATTCTTGTAACCTCCCGCTGAGACACACAATGGGGCAGCACTTCTTCCAATGCTGGTGTACTATTCTTCCCACTAATACCAAGGATGGGACACTACTCTTTCTACTGACCATCAACCCTGAGGCCATGTTTATTCTCACTGATGCTGTGTCCAGGACATTTTGTATCCTCACTGGCTCTAATCCTGCCCTCCTAAAGTCTGAAGGACCCTTTGTTTGGAACATTTGGAGACCTTTGCTCTATACAATCCCTTTAACTCCTCAGTATGGTAATGCTCCCATACTGTCCAGTCAGTAGGCTGGGAACAGGTCAGGGTCCATGATTGTATTAATCTGTGCTTAATTTCACAGAAAACATGTGACAACGATGATCTGGCATTCTTTGCAATGGGTACCTGGATTACAAGAATAGCTGAACAGAATTTCTATTTTCTTTTTTTTTTTGCGCTAAGATAGTTTTTGTAGATTAGCTTCAAACAGATGTCATTCTCTATACCTTTCAAGCACATGGTGGAGAAAAAGGTATTCAGCCTGCCATGAATATTTGAGCTATTAAATATCAGATCACCGCAGATCAAACAGGAAGGCGGCAGGAGAGACTGCACATTTTCTAAAGGTAATTAAGCCAAACTTGTTTATTTAGGTTGTATTTTCCTTCACCGACTACAATAAAAGTGAGAGGCTCGCCTTTGTTTTTGGGGATTATACTGGCAGTTTGTTTGAAGGAAGGATTTTCCATCATTTAACAGAATGTGCTGATGCATCTTAACCACTGAAAAGAAAGGCTGGCACTAAATCAATTACAGCAAATCCCATACTGGTGTTCTCTAGTTTAGCTATACATATATATTACTGTGACATGTGTTTAACATGAGAACAACAAAAAAACTAAGCAGATAATGCTTGTGGATAAACAGTGAATTACCGCCTAACCTGATAAGCATTGAGTTACTGTACAACAGGAACATACATGGATTTATATAACAGACAAAAGGGGATGTGATTGAAATCAAACTATGCAGCCAACTCCGCTGCGTATACAATGAAATCAAAGTCATCTTGAGTCTTGTCTTTCATGGACTTGGAATGAGAGTATAGCCGGAGAGTTCAGAGCCTCGGCAGCAACGTGTTTCATTTCTGAAATAGAATTATACCTGCTTTATTTGAAGATATTGGCAAACTTAAAAGTGTAGGAATGCCACATACTATTCCTCATATACTGTATATAATTACCTGTTTGTAATGGGAAGAACTGCTGCCACAGAAAGGTCCTTATAAGAAATTACATAGGCATTTTTTTTTTTTTAACTTTTACAGAGAATGTAAAAAGCAACTGTAGAATCACTACCTTAAAAACATAAAAACACAGGCCTTAGTCCTCATGCACACTGGATGTTTTTACAGCGGCAGTTTTTGGATTTTGGTATTTTTTTCTACAGCTAGTAAACTCCCCCAGCATGTTATCCTATGTGTCCGTGCACACAGGCTTTAACTGCTTTCCTGCTGCCCTATAGCAGATATACTGCTACAGGGCGGCAGGGGTGTGCAAAATCACGTGTGTATATATATATATATATATATATATATATATATATATACATACATACATACATACATACATATATATATGTATGTATATGTGATTTTGCATTTCCTGGTAGGGGGCGTGTGCGAGCAGCGAGCGCACCCTGCCCGCGCCGCCATTCGTGGCTGTGGCTATCAATCACCCGGTGATTACCGAGGATCTCCGACAGGGAGGAGGACTGTTTTGTTTACTAACAGTTCTCCTCCCTGTCAGCTCGGGCACATTGCTTTGGATGCAGATATAGAAACAACACCTCCTGCGCTCTAGGACTCAAACCAGGGGTGGAGGAATCGAGGAACCTCAAAACAATTCCACCTGTGCATGGAAGGTTGTGCAGCTCTACAACAAGGCTGGGGAAGCTTGACCGATACTGTGAAATGAAGCAAAAAGAAAGTGCGCACCAACCTTGCGCATAATCTCAGTAATTCTGAGCTCTGATGAAGGGTTCCCCCTTCGAAAAGTGTCAGCCTCACTTTCAGGGGAGGACTGAAAAACTCATGGGGCCCCTGGGCAATAGGGGATCATGGGGCCCCTGTGTCCTTGCCCAAACTCAAAAAAGCCTATGAAAAAAGCACCAGGGGCATCTCATGGTGCCCCCTACTGACCCCGAGCCTTTGGACAGTGCCCAAGTTTCCAAATGGTCAGTCCGCCCCTGCTCACTTTGAGAGTCTACCCTCGTGACGTGACTCACACTGGCTCTACACTCCCTAGTTCCTTTGAGGATCTGTAATGCTTGTTTTACTGCCTTGTTTGTGAGTATATATATTTTATGTAATAAAATCACAAAATTACTGAGTTAATGCGCAAGGTTGGTGGGCTCTTTATTTTTGTTTCACTTCACAACACTGCTCTGGATAGCTGTGCACAGCACAGCCATTCAAAGCAGTGTAATTACAGTGAAGCATACTGAAGCGGCCCCATAGTAAAACACTCCCTGCACACAGTTAACCCTTTGATCACCTCTTATGTTAACCCCTTCCTGCCCAGTGCCATTAGTACAGTGTCAGTGCTTTTTTTTTTAGCACTGATCACTGTATTGGTGTCACTGAAGATGTCAGTGACACCAAGTCAGTTCGAACACAATAGAGGGCATAGAATACCCTCAGAAAACAGTAGTTTAAAAGAGAACCAACAGCGGTGTAAAAACAACCAATAGCTTTAATATACTTTACAAAAATTAGGTAACAGACCTATTAGGTCAAAGGATCCTCTATTCACATCAATAAAATGGATAACATTATCTCTTTAAAATGGCCCGGGCCACACTTACTCAGAATATACCATAGTACTACTACCCTGAGTCTTATGTGAGCATAATATGGGGTCAATAGGTCAGAATCTTGCATAGTGAGCTAGCCACTCTGGTCTGTGTATCAAAATCCAAGACTCTGAAGAAACCACTCTCCAACAAGGACAAGGTCCACCATGGATCAAGGACACTTGTAAATGAACAAAAAATTGGGGCAATTAAACTCATTAAGTTTACCCAATATAAACCAGCAGGTTAACAGTTTACCTCCCATATGGAATGGCAGTCACAAAAATTGTTAATCTTAACCACATTAATATGACACCTCACAGTAATTACTATATAGGTTGACAAATTAACTTTCCCTATAGGAAATGGCAGTTTACAAAAAATGTTAAACGTTGACCACATTGATATATTGGATATGACGCGACTTTACACAGCTAATGCTACCAGCGTTATGAAAGTGCCCAGTGTGCACGGAGTCTTAAAGTACAAAGGCTGAAACAAACAAAGTATAAAACACCTACTGCGCATGAGTGTGGTGGACTAGGGATAAATCCTCACATGTGCTCCCTTTGGAACACCACCCGGGAGATATAGCAGACTTTGCTGCCCTCTAATGGGCTGGTATAGTCTGAGGAGCAACTGCAAAAACATAAATGAAAAGAGGGCGCGCCAGCCTAGTGCATTATCTAGATAAAAAACATACAGTACAAACTATGCAGGTTCACAACATACAGTCAGGTCCATAAATATTGGGACATCGACACAATTCTAACATTTTTGGCTCTATACACCACCACAATGGATTTGAAATGAAACGAACAAGATGTGCTTTAACTGCAGACTGTCAGCTTTAATTTGAGGGTATTTACATCCAAATCAGGTGAACTGTGTAGGAATTACAACAGTTTGCATATGTGCCTCCCACTTGTTAAGGGACCAAAAGTAATGGGACAATTGGCTTCTCAGCTGTTCCATGGCCAGGTGTGTGTTATTCCCTCATTATCCCAATTACAATGAGCAGATAAAAGGTCCAGAGTTCATTTCAAGTGTGCTATTTGCATTTGGAATCTGTTGCTGTCAACTCTGAAGATGAGATCCAAAGAGCTGTCACTATCAGTGAAGCAAGCCATCATTAGGCTGAAAAAACAAAACAAACCCATCAAAGAGATAGCAAAAACATTAGGTGTGGCCAAAACAACTGTTTGGAACATTCTTAAAAAGAAGGAACGCACCGGTGAGCTCAGCAACACCAAAAGACTCGGAAGACCACAGAAAACAACTGTGGTGGATGACCGAAGAATTATTTCCCTGGTGAAGAAAACACCCTTCACAACAGTTGGCCAGATCAAGAACACTCTCCAGGAGGTAGGTGTATGTGTGTCAAAGTCAACAATCAAGAGAAGACACCAGAGTGAATACAGTGGGTTCACCACAAGATGTAAACCATTGGTGAGCCTCAAAAACAGGAAGGCCAGATTAGAGTTTGCCAAACGACATCTAAAAAAGCCTTCACAGCTCTGGAACAACATCCTATGGACAGATGAGACCAAGATCAACTTGTACCAGAGTGATGGGAAGAGAAGAGTATGGAGAAGGAAAGGAACTGCTCATGATCCTAAGCATACCACCTCATCAGTGAAGCATGGTGATGGTAGTGTCATGGCGTGGGCATGTATGGCTGCCAATGGAACTGGTTCTCTTGTATTTATTGATGATGTGACTGCTGACAAAAGCAGCAGAACTCATTGGACGCCGCTTCACAGTGCAGATGGACAATGACCCAAAGCATACTGCAAAAGCAACCAAAGAGTTTTTTAAGGGAAAGAAGTGGAATGTTATGCAATGGGCAAGTCAATCACCTGACCTGAATCCGATTGAGCATGCATTTCACTTGCTGAAGACAAAACTGAAGGGAAAATGCCCCAAGAACAAGCAGGAACTGAAAACAGTTGCAGTAGACGCCTGGCAGAGCATCACCAGGGATGACACCCAGCATCTGGTGATGTCTATGCATTCCAGACTTCAGGCTGTAATTGACTGCAAAGGATTTGCAACCAAGTATTAAAAAGTGAAAGTTTGATTTATGATTATTATTCTGTCCCATTACTTTTGGTCCCTTAACAAGTGAGAGGCACATATGCAAACTGTTGTAATTCCTACACAGTTCACCTGATTTGGATGTAAATACCCTCAAATTAAAGCTGACAGTCTGCAGTTAAAGCACATCTTGTTTGTTTCATTTCAAATCCATTTTGGATGTGTATAGAGCCAAAAATGTTAGAATTGTGTCGATGTCCCAATATTTATGGACCTGACTGTATCAAGCCACTAGCTCGTAACATAATAGCAAGTCAGACCCAGAGTGTTCCAACACCAGAGAGATGCAGTCTGGGATCCAAACCAGCTTACGCGTTTCAAGGGTAAACCCTCTCCTTCAGAGCCAAAAATCAAATCACATGTTTGGCTCTTGTAAGTGATCATAAAGACGTATGTGGCAAAGAAATTAATTCATCCATATGATAAGTACTGTATATCACAAAAGTGAAAATATGTGACAGAAAAAAGTGAAAAAAAAACGTAAAAAAAAAGTCCTTATATTAAGGGTGTCCCCACACACGTTGCAAAGTGCACATCCACCACCAAGTTAGGAAAGCCTCTTGCCAGATGATGTGGACCATTAGGTTATAAGCACTTAGGTATATCCTATAGTCATGATTCTCTAAGCATATAGAATGTTCACCATCGGCTCTCTCCTTCAATATTAGGATTTAGCCCAAAAAAAAAAAGAAGTGGTGCATACCCATAGTGTAATATGTAAAAAACCTTATTAAACAATTTAAAAATGCCACAACAAGATGACGTCACGTCGTAGCCACGGCCAACAACATGATGTCATCACACAATCTCTCCGCTGATCCCCACTGAGCAAGCGGATGATAGGTCTGGGTCCACTCCGCTGCTGCAGACCAATGGGTGGTCGGATGAAAACGGACACATGCCCGTTTACACCTGCAGCTCCATAGAGGAGAATGGAGGTTCTGAACGGGTCTGCCTGAAAAAACGGGCTGGCGGACTCAATCAGAACATCCATGTGAAAGAGGCCATAGGAGATCCAGATTGTTATAGTTTTTTCCAGGGCAGGATAATCTGACAGATTTTAACCATTCTTCCCTACTCTATCCAAAACTTTAAAACAGGGTTTGGGCTTTAGAAAGGCTTTAATTCAATAAAGCACCTGGACTTAACATGACTGCCATCATAGTATTATAGTTTTTTTGCACGGACATGATGTCCAGCGAAGGGAGTTATTAAGAAATATAAAAATTATGGTATCCACACCGTCTTTATTAGATTAGTTCTACCAAACACGGATAGAGGAAGGTTACATTGAGTATTAATTTGTTTTTAAATTTTTGCAAAAGAGGTGAAAGGTTTAAGGGGATAAAGTCCTAAATACATTTAGTCATATGTATTTCTACATATTTAAATTCTGCGGCGCGATTTTACAAAAGGGCTGGAGAATTCTTTCCCCGCAGGTATGCCAGTCCATTGAAATGAATGGGCTGCCGTACACACAGTACGCTCAGATGGGAACCAAGGCTAAAACTGGTGAAATGGAAATGAGAACAGCCAATCAGATGTTTTTTTCTTTAACGTTTCCATAAAATTAATGGTAGAACTTGTTTGTTTCCTTTAGGCGACATCTACATATTTGCTCCCTATTTTCTTTCTCTGGTTGAAATTATTTACTGTAATGCATTTACAGTGTTCCCAAATTAGTTTTCCTATTATGGATGGCAACCAAAAAAAATAGTAATTTACAAAGAACATAATCAGCAAGTAATACAGAAATAAATGTTGAAAAGAGATCAGAATATGAGAGGCCCCCAGTGACATCACAACTGCCCCTTATTTGCTACCTTCACACTTACTGTTCCCAAGAAAACCTTGAGAAAATATTGTTTCCCTTCATACAAACATATAAACATGTACATTGTCTCTATGGAAACTCTGAGCAGTCTTAATGCAGAGGTGTCTAATAAAGGTTTATTTCACAAGAGCTCTGAACATTCATTTTGGCCCTGATGCCCATTAGGCAGTTGTTGATTTTCCATGAAAAACCACCAAACCATTTATACCTCAAGGATCTCCTGAGACATCCACTACAATGAAATTAGCTAAATCATTTTCTTTATAGTTCACACATCAAGTAAAATACACTGAACATGTGCCCAAAATATCATCTAACAAGATTGTTCCGGCGAGCCGAAACATCCAGGGCTTTAAGTTACAGAACATTTAAAGTTCTCAGGAAAACCCATGTTAAAGTAATAATTCATTGTGAAATTATTAAACTACATTTTGAACCATAAAGGAAACAAGGAATCTGATTTCTTGTAGTCTT